AAAAAAATATTATCTACGATAAGTTGAGTGATGACCAACTTTTTTATGTTTTCCATGAGGAATTTGAGTGAGGATGGAATTTTTAGGGAGGGATTTCAGAAAGGAAGGCCTTCATTTGTAGAGTTTGTTGAACCCATTTTAGACAAGGACAATATGAAGAGAATTGAGTAGAGAACCAATATGGTTGTCTTACTCTCTGATACCATGTGGAAGAGGGAAAGTAAATAAATTCAATAATACAAAGATTACAAAATTAGAGCAGACTTCACTATATTTCCGTGAGTGTGTATAACAACTAAGGTTATATAAGCATACTTTGTTATGGAAGGATTCCTTTTACAATAGAAGGTAGTATAGAATTAGTATTTGGTTTTATTGTAGTTAGGAATAACATACCCTAAGACCACGGTAACCATAAGAGAAGATTGTTAGTAAAAAGGTCTATATGGCACTAGACAATGTGACTTCCATCTTGCAATTTTTCTCTCTTACTTTAACAACTTTCATTATAAGAGATTGTCAGTAAAAAGGTCTGCCTTATTAGAGCTTTTTTCTTCATTATTTATTTATTTTTTTCTTGTTTGATTTGTTTTTTACTATGATAACTCTTCACATAAGAGTTGAGAGTTTAATGTTAGCTCCGATCAAGCCAAAATAGCCTAGTTAAGAATGACTTTATTTTTTTGGCTCAATCTTATTTTTGAGGCTATTTTGAGAGTAGGTTATACTAGATCATGTATGTTCATGGTAGATTTTCTCTCCCTCTCTCTATCACTCTCTCTCTCCACACACACGCACACACACGCACGTGCACACTCACACGCGCACAAACACACACAAAATCAATATTCACTGACTTCAAGAAGTTGGGATAATGTTAATGTTCATGAGTTAGGGTTATAGTTGTGTTTTATTTTAAGGAATTTGGTGGTATATAAAAATATAATGTCTTTTTTAATAAATCTAATAGGAAAATTTATTGCTCCATGAAAAAAAATTTACATCAAGGTGGCCAAAAGTTCCACTACACCCCACCACATAACAACTCACACATAGAAATAAGAAACCTAGCAACTTAAGGCCACAATATAACTCACATAACAAAAAAAATCACTTATTAACATGAATGAAAGAAAGATCCAAATAATCACCATGAAGCATCTAAGACAACTCCTCCTGAATCTTGTTGGAAACATTAACCTTCAACGACTCCAATCTATTCTCAGCAGCCCAATTTGTTAATTGGTTACCCTCACGAGGAATAAAGGATCACTGAACTTGCAAAACACTTTGAAAGCAAAAATTTTCTTCAAATGATTAATTAGAAACCAAGGATACTCCTTACGTGAATTGCAAATATTCCAAAATACCAAAGAGTCCATATCAATCATAACTGTATTCCAACCACAATAAACAGCTAATATCATAGTGGTTAAAACCACATCTGCTTATCTAATTAAGGTACTAGCCACAAAAGTAGGAGCAGAAAACCACAATAAATAGGTACCATTAGAGTTCCTACAAAGGTCCACAATCCCTACAAACCCACTGATAGCCAAATACCTCTTCTAGCTACCTTTGATATTAAATTTAACAAAACCTTTGTTCAGTTTATTCCAAACTATAAGATTAACCTGCATGTTAACCTTACCAGCAAATGACACTTTAAATAATTGAAACAGATTCAACAACTTCTTAATAATAGGATACTTAAATTTACCAAACTTCAACATTTCACCAATATAACATCCAATATAATTAAAATACGAAAGTTCAGAAATCCGCTTATTTGTATGCTTGACATCATTTCTAGCAGTCCAAAGAAACCAAATAACAATAATCTACATAGAAGCATAAAACAGACCACCCTTACTTTTTTCAAAAGTTAATCATATCTTGAATAGATAATATAGAATTCCAATTCAACTTTATATCCAAAAGAAAGGACAATATTCCAGACACCATTACCAAAAGAGCAGTTGCAAAACAGGTGTTTGATCTCCTCTTCTTGAGCTTTACAAAGAGAGCATCTGGAAGACAATTTAATCCTTTTCAACTTCAAAATATTATAATAGGAATAATCCTATGAAGAAGCCTCCAAAAGAAAAAAAAGATTGTGAAGGTTTCAGAAAAGAATTCCAAACCCAATGTAAGTCCAAACCTCTAGAGTGCTGAAAAGAATTGGCAAAGGTGTAAGAAATAGATTTTCCCATAATATTTTTCACTTTAATTTGATCCCTAACATTATTAGTAGAAATCTTATTGATAGTAAAAGCATCTGCTTCATTCACCAAAACATTCAATTTAGAAAGATCCCAAGTATGATTATACCATATACATAAAATTTCAAGTTAATCTCAGAAGGACCACCATAGCAATCGGCCAAAGGGCATTCATGACCAATTATCATACCAAAAGCTACAAGAACCATCACCAATGTCTCATCAAATTAAATTCTCTGCATGTTTAGAAACAACAAAAGAATTACTAGAAATAACCAAAGGTTGAACATTATTGCAATATTTCTTCCTTATCATACGAGTCCAAAGAGATAAACCATTTCTGACATGCACTCAAAGCTTCATAAATTTGATTTTCATCGAATCAGATAATGATCTAAAACCTAAACCACCATAATTGGTAGGTTTACACATTTTAAACCACCTCATCCGATGAATTTTATGATCCTTATCAGCCCAAAGAAATCTATTAAAAATATTTTCTAACTTCATGCAAAGATTAGTAGGCGCTTTCATAAAAAAATAAAGTATAGAGAGGAACATAAGTGAGTGCACATTTTAATAAGAAGATAATATGTTTTTGAATGTTACTTAATAAATAACGATATATATCAATTATATTTGTGTGATTACTTGATTGATGAAGCTACTTTTAATATGAATTTTTGGAAGGTAAATCTATTCCCCTCGAATAAAAACCAGTAAAAAAATATTAAGGAGCTTTTATTTTTCTAATATTAGAAAAACATAATTGTCTTGCTAGAAAATTTGGGCTAATTTAGAATCAAGCTTTCTAGTGTTTATATGTTATGAATCTACAATCCCTTTCTTTATCAGTTAATGTTACACAGTATCAGCGAATTAATAAAAAAAACAAGTCAGAGAGCTCTTTTTTTTAAAAAAAATTTGAAGTAATTTATTTGTAAGGAAGCACAACATATATATAAGATATTGAATTCATACTAAAAAAACTACGAAGAAAAATTTACATACATACATACCACACAATTCTTATATATTTACATATTTAACACCTAAGATTTGATATTACACTTATAACACTTTGGTGCTAGATGAAGGCTTGCTGAATTTAGATTTCAAACGAGAAGCTAAATGTACGAGTATTTAAATGAAAAATTCTCAATATTCAGTAAGTACAGTGTAAGGGTATATATAGACATGAAGATATTATAAAGAATGTTCCTTAGAGAATTTAGTTAAGATGGTTATAAGATTGAGGCTCGGGTGTACTATGAATTGTTTGGTATGTATGTATGTATGTCAAACATGTTACATAGCTCTTCTTTCATATTTAGATGATCGTCTCATATAATACAAACATGTGATCATTACAGGTATTTCTCTGGGATCATTCAACACATTTAATAAATAAAAGTTAATCAAGACGACACATTTATGTTAAACTGATTTTACTTCAATTGATTTTGTGCTTATTGATAATCAATTGGAAACTTATATTATGAATATGTGATATGATGCAAAATTTTCATCTTTAAATGATATTGGATGTCTATTAGAAGTGGTTCAGACCCAAAAGGCTATGCTACATCATCTTTTTCTTAAACTATTGAAATAGCATTAGGTGGCAAAAGAGCTTTCTTTTGCTATGACTATTATAAAATAGACTATGAAATAGAATTGGAGTTTAGTAGATGATGATAATTTAGTACATTATATTGAGAAAAAAATATTAGATATTATTGACAATGATATATTTTTAGTGTTTTCAGAGTATAAAGGCAATACATTTTAAGTTCCACATTTTAGTATTATTATATATTTCATTTATTTTCTACAAAAAATATTTAATTAAATGAATTTTTAAAACTGCCAATATAAATCATAATCCTAAATGAAAAATGTTGAGAGAATTTTTCTAAAATATTATTATGCCAACGATCCAAATATTTTTTGGCTTCATCACTAATTGTCGCCACCAAATACAATTCTTGTAGTTCAATTATTGCTATTGTAGCCAAACTATTAATATAAATCTATGATCACAATTTATTTTAATCACAGCTTCCCTAATCTAGGTGAAGAGCAGATCTATATACTTCTGGTTACATAATGAATAATTTCAATTAGGTCATGCCCCATTATTTTTTCCCTTGCCTGATTTTTGCAAGTAAAAAATATTGGCATCTTATCCCGTAACTTTTTTTTTTTCAATCCATGTGTGCTGGATCTTTACGAAACACTAAAATACTAAATTATCACTCAGCTGTTGCAACTTTTCTAGCATACAAGTTTCATTTGTATGTTATACATTATATGATTGGCTTTAATTGATCTTGATCATATAAATTTTTAACTTCTGAAATCGTAAAAAATTTTGATGATCAATTCTAGTAGCGAAAATTCGCCAAATAAATCACTTTCATAGCATTGAATTTATATGTTTCAAAAATTAATTGAACGTTAATATGTATTCAAGACTTATTGCGCTTGGAAGAACTCCCGTAACAGGGAAGATATTTGCGTACATAAGATGTACGCAGTGCTGCGTACATCAGGGGTTATTCAGGTGGTACAGGGGGTTATATCCGGGTTATACCCATTGTAACATCCGTGTAATTCCCTTGTAATCTCCGTGTAACTTATTTGTACCCATGAAATTATAGAAGTGCGGAACTCATTTTTAGTTTACAAATAATTTACAAAGAAGTTACAGAGGAGTATAACCCAATATAAACGTCTCTACCCTTCATAACTCCTGTAAGTACACATAGGCAAATATTTTCCCGTTTACTGAGGTATTTTGGTGCTTGATGGCTATGGTTGTAAATATTAAAGTTTCGGTGTGAGATATGTAGAAACTTGAGGATCGTGTGGCGCTTAGTTGTTAGGATCTCACCATCTCTGGCAATCGGAGCAGACAAAGCTTCACTACTTCTTCTCACAGTTTGATCTTGATCCGCCACTCTTAATGGTGAGTCAACTCCTTTTTTGGTTCATTTTCTTCTCTGTCTTGCTCGATCCTCATTTATGTTTATTAGTTTTCCTGGACCTCACATCATATCTTACTACTCCAGGGCACAAGAAGTTTTTATACTACCACACACAACAGAGTCTTGCCCGCTCGCTCCAGCCATACCACTTTAGATCGCGAGTTGAGTTCGTTTTCTTCATTGTCTGTCTTGCTCGATTTCAAGTTATGTTTCTTCCTTTCGTAATGAATCTATTTTTTGCATGGGTTTTAAATGAAGTAGTAATTATTTACAGTTTCTAATGGAGTGTAGCTTCTTGCATACAAACTGTATGTTATGTTGCTCCAACAGCCAACCACCGGAAAAAGTAGACATTGGGCCTAGTGTTTGAATGTGTGATTTAATTCGTTAGTACTTGAAGATTTTAAAAAAAAAAAAAATTAGTTAAAATCTTCATCTATTAATATTTTGTTATAAATTTTTTTTAAGTTTTTTGTGCAAAAAAAATATAAGAATCGTAAGTTGTATTTGATGATGCCAAACTGTAACTCAGCTATGAAAAGCTTACATGAATGTCTTGATGTTTTATTTAGATAGCTGTCTTTGACATGAAAAATTAATCATAATCAATATATAATGATAAATAAATGTCTACTTCATTCACGTTTTGAAGGAAATCTGTATTCTCCTCATTCTTTTGTTAGTGTGCTTTTTATGCTAAGATTTAAGTTATTTGTCTTTTAATAATGCAGGCAGTAAGCATTGTATCTTTAGAAATGAGCATCGCCAGTCTATTGTCTTATAATGCACCTTGAGAGATTGTCAAGTGAATTATTGATGCAATTTACAATACTTCTTAATTACATTTTATAAACATTGGAAGCAAGTTTCTTAGATGTCCTCCTAACCATACAAAAGAGGATTGTTGTTATTTCATTTGGTAGAATGATGCGGATCATACAACATATGAAATGGAGAATTAATCATGAGCTTTCGAGGAGGGCACCAAAAAGAAGCTTGAGACTATCTCAATGCAGAAGAAAATTATAGTTGCTTGGTGTTTATTGTTATTACCATGATTTCTTTTTTATTAGGTTTTCTGTGTATTTAATGATCATGTAAAGATCATGGTTAATGTTTTTGTAGCTTAAATGTACTTTTAGACCGTATCATCAATGAACACAATTTAAATTTACTCCATATCATGACTCTTTAATTTTTGTAGTGGATGTGTAATTTTTGTTTCATATCATATCTCTATATTATCAATTAACCTGTATTTTTGTATCATATATTTCAATTATTTGAAAGTCGGCAGCAGAAGTTGGAATTTTAGTAAGTAGAAAATTCATAATGGCTGTTTAAATGCTTGCAAGAGAAATTAATCTTGTTGTTTTAGCTGGAATAGATGACTTCACAGATTTTTTTCTTGTTCATACAGGATGTATGATAAGTTGTTGACAAAATGTGCACTACTATGTTGAAGAACAAACAAGATAAGAATATGGATACCAAGCACGAGCTTTTAAGGAGAGCACATCCAAGATGCTCAAGGCCACTTTCATTGCTACGAAGTTCCTTCGTTTCTGAGAATTTAGTACATGTATGTTATCAATAAACCCCACTGCTTCCAAAACTAAAGCATTTATTTTCCCTACTTTCTTTCATCATTCTTTTCTTAAACTGTATTGAATCAATTTATACGAAATGAAAAAGAAGTAATATTGAATTAGTTTATTACAAATCAAAAAGAAAAGTTACTTCCGAATCACAATAAAAAAGCAAATTTATTTTTTATTAATTGCATCAACAAAAGAGGTTTTACTTCAACCAAAGCATCAACAGTTAAAATCTGCTCTGCATACACCCCTGTCACACACTAGTTTTAACTTAGCTTTGAATATTGATTACGGTCCTTAAATGACTATGGTGATGTCTTGTTGGAGAAGATTAAACTACATATAGTAAGTGAACATTAAACTCAAAATTTCATTATAACAAACACGTTGTTGGAGAAGGATAATCATAGGTAAAAAGAAAAAAAAAAGCAAGAAAAATCAAAATATCACTTTTTGCCAAAACGTAATTCAAATCTCAATGATTACTCACAAAAGACTAAAAATATGTTGTAGATAATATGATGATAATATTGTAGGCTCAAAATCATTTACATCCAGTGTTCCTAAGAACAACATATTGACGTGCCAAAACAATGGGTCGGTTATTCTTCCTAGATATTGCACATGCTTAGAAATCAGTAATTTAACACTATCATTGCCGGTCCCAAGTCCGGATGTGAAAAGTGGAGGACTGCGTTAGGTAGTTGACAACCAAGGTAAAACTTATTGAAAAAATTATGATCCTTTTGATCATTGTGTTAAGTGTTAGAGCGTCCCCCAGAAGCGACGCGCTGTATGATCTGAATACAGTGAAAAATATGTAAGGGTCGCTACATGACGCTTAGGTGTAGTGTCAAATAAGTAAGTGTTTACACATTACAGACGAATGCGGATAAAGAAGTTTGTCCAAGAAATTAATATTAGGATAAAATCTTAGAATATAGGTACTTTTACTGGTAAATTAATAAAATTAGTTGATATGATGATTAATAAAAAGATAAAAATCTTATGTGTTCAAGAAACTAAATGGGTTGGAGAAAAGCTTAAGGAGATTGATAACTAAGGTTTTAAACTTTAGTATTCAGGTAAGAGTTGCATTAGAGATGGGGTAGTTGTAATTATAGATAAGAGTTTGAAAGATAATGTTGTAAAAATTAATAGAGTTGGAGATAAAATTATAGCCCTTAAGATTATTGTTGATGCTAAGATTTTTAATATTATAAGTGCTTATACTCCTCAAGTAGGTTTAGATATAGGTTATAAAAATAAATTCTGGAATGTCTTCGAAGACTTAATACAAATGATACCTTTTAAAGAAAGAATTTTTATTGGAGGAGATTTAAATGAACATGTCGGTAGAGTGGTAGAAGATTTTAGAAATATTCATGGTGGCTACGGTTTTGGAGTGATTAATGAAGAATGTATAACTATATGAGATTTTGCTTTAGCATATGATTTTGTTATTGCTAATACTTTATTCAAGAAAAGAAATGAACATATTATTACTTATAAGAATGAATCTAATACAAGAGATCGTCGAGAATGTAATAATTGTGAGCTCATTCGAAGTGAGAATTTAAGTAGTGAACATCGATTATTAGTTTTAAATTTTAAGATGAAGATTTGTAAAGTAAAGAATATTAAGAATCATCGTCGTAGAATTAGATGTGGGTTTCTAAATGACACGAATAAAATTATTTTTATGAGTAAAATTCAATGTTTCAAAATTTAATATGTTTATGAAGAAGCAAATTCTTTGTGGGATAAAGTAACAAAAACCAAGTGACAAAAGTTGTACTTGGAGAATCAAAAGAAAAAGTTTTTGTAAATAAAAATGGTAGAATAATAATGTGCAAGAAAACTTAAAATATAAGAAAGTATGTTATAAAAATTGGTTTAAATAAAAAAAAGTTTAAAGAACTTGGAAAAATATCAAACAACCTGTAGGAAGTCTAAGATAATAATCTGACGCTAAGAATTTTGCTTTTAGTGATCTTTATAATAGATTAGATACTAAGGAGAGTGAAAAATATATTCATAAACTGACCAAGGATTTAACTCAATTAAAGTGTATTAAAGATGAAAATCAAAAACTGATTTTCTTAGAAAAATATATTCAAAATAGATGAGTATTATTTTGATAAACTTTTAATGAAGTTTCAAAAAATACGATCGACTTAAGTGATTTTAATATCGTTAATAACAATAAAATATTTCATTTTTCCGTCACATTACTAAAAAAGAAGCGAGGAGGCTTTAAAGAAAACTAATGGTGGAAAGTCTGTAGGATCTGATGATATCTCAATTGAAGTGTAGAAATATTTAGAGAAATATTTAATTGAAGTGTAGAAATATTTAGGAGATTTGAGAGTTTCTCGGCTCACTAAACTCTTTAATATTATTTTAAAATCTAAAAGATGCCTTAGGAGGGGAGGAAGAGTATTTTGGTCCCCATTTTTAAGAATAAAGAGGATGCACAAAAGTGTGCCAATTATAGAAGAATTAAGTTAATGTGTCATACTTTAAAATTATGGGAGAGGGTAATCGAACATAAGTTAAGTCGTATTACAAAAATTTCTCATAGTCAATTTGGATTTATGTCGAGTAGGTCTACCATGGAAGCTATACATTTATTGAGAGGTTTGATTGAGAAGCTCAGAGATAATAAGTAGGATCTACATATGATTTTTATTGATTTAGAATAAGCTTACGATAAGGTTCCAAGAGGTATCCTTTGGAGAGTTCTTGAGAAGAAAGGTGTTGATATGACTTATATTCTAGTCATTAAAGATATGTATACAAGAACTATTACTCGTGTTCGAAGAGAAGGAGAATTGACCAAATGTTTTTCTAGTTTTGTTGGTTTACATAAGGGATCGTCTTTATGCCCATATCTTTTTGGTTTAGTTATGGATGGTCTTACAGGACACTTACAGGAGGTTGTACCTTGGTGTATGTTTTTTGTTGATGATATTCTTCTCTTGATAAGACGAGAGAAAAAGCTCAGGAAAAACTTGAATTATGGAGGTCTACCTTGGAGTCTAAAGGCCTTCGTTTGAGTAGATCTAAAACTGAATTCATGAAATGTAGTTTTAGTAGTAGTTGCTCTAGTGAAATAAATGTAACTATGGCTGATCAAATTATTAAAGTGTGTGAACGCTTTAGATATCTCGGGTCTATTGGTCAAAGTGATGGTGATATTGATGGGGATGTTATTAGTAGATTTCAAGTTTTTCAAGTTGGTTGGAGGAATGCTTCAGGCCTATTGTGTGATAGAAAAGTGCCGCTTAGACTGAAAGGAAAATTTTTTAAGATGGTGGTGAGACCTTAAGATGGTTTTTAAGATGGTGGTGAGACCTGCAATGCTTTATGGCACTGAATGTTGGCCTTTAAAAGAGAAGCATAAAACGAAGTTAATTGTTGCCAAGATGAGAATGATTGAGTGGATGAGTGGCTTTACACTTAGAGACAAAATGCGAAATGGATATATCCGTGATAGGGTTGTTGTAGCTCCAGTGACAGACAAAATTAGAGAGTCATCTTAGATGGTTTGGTTACATTAAACGTCGACCATCTGTTGATCCGATTAGAATAGCAGATGTTTTAGATTTGACTTATGTTAGGAAAGATAGAGGTAGACCTACAATGACTTAGGCATATTATATAAAAAATGATTTAATTATTAGAATTAAATGAAAATATGACACTAAATAGGACGCAATGGAGAAAAATGATTCATGTAGCCAACCCCATTTTGTGGGATAAATTTGTTGTTGTTGTTGTTGTTTTTATGGTGTCCCCAAAAGCCGCATCTAATACATCTTTGAACATTTCTTATTTTTTAACTATTTATCTCTGAAAAATTCTTGAATCTCTCCTTCCTCGCTATTGCGCATGATTTGTTATGATAATTTTTGCAAGTTTTTCAGTGGTATTCCCAAAAGCCGCATCTACTACATTGGTGAATATTTTTTATTTTTAACTATTTCTCTCTAAAAAAATTCTTGAATCTCTCCTTCCTTGGTCTTCCATGTGGTCTTAAAATTTTGACATGCTAGTATTTAATTCAACATATGCTATTTTCCATTTGTCCTTTGATGGAAGACTTGCTTTCACTTCTTTATCTGCCATTCTATATCTAGAATAATTAAGAGTTTATTAACATCTTATTAGCCTATAATTAAGACATACTTGTTGATATTGTAATTATCATCGATATATATATGCTATAAAGAATGCCCCTTATTTTCGATGAGGGCCATTGCTTTAGTGTAAGGTAGCCCAATCATTTGTTAAAATTTGCAGCTACATTCTCTTTTTTTTATGTTCATCGATCTCATGTCTTTTGGAATGTTTCTCTACCTTGACCTTTGCACTGTGGACTACTTGATAATGAAATGCCACTTTTATAGTGGTTTTTTCTGGGACGTACTCTTTAATGTGAGGAGCTAAATTACCATACCATTCTATTGAGTCTATCATCTTTTGATCCATGATTGCTTGATTTGTTTTGAGTCCACCGCACAGATTTAAAATATTTTAATTTATTTGAATAATCAAATTTAACATTAAAAGTAATATTACTATCTCAGGATAGAAATATCACTTTAAGATGGACTTAATTATTCGAATAAAAAATTTCATTCAGAAGTTTGATGAGTTTGGGTTTAAAACCAACAAAATTTTCACTACTTAACCCAAAACTAGATAGGTTTTAGATTAATCTGAGTTATAAATTTTTTATAAAAGCAGACCTTATAGTTAATTATATCTGAAGAAACAAAATATCTTAATAAAATTCTCGATTAAGGTTGATGTCATGTCTTCAAGATTTTCTACATTTAAGCTTTCATGATTTTTCATTTGGCATTTCAAGCACGAAAGTTTAAATGAGAACAATTATTATCGAAACCCAAAAGAGAAAGCAGAAAGTGTTCATATACTGAGAAATTCAGTGCATTTCAACTATCACATGATTGAACTT